TATTTTTGGACTTCTACCAGTAATTTTTCATTACTCTTATACTCTTCAAAAAAAGATACTTTTTTTAAATTTTGGTAAGTAATTAACTAATAAAACATAAATAATGTTACAAATTAGTAATTTTAATAACTCTTGTAAGTTTTATGAACTAAATTTTAAGTTAAATATGCATAATATTGTGCGTGCGCGCGTGCGTGCGTGCGCGCGTGCGTGCGTGCGCGCGTGCGTGCGTGCGCGCGTGCGTGCGTGCGCGCGTGCGTGCGTGCGTGCGATATTTAATCATTTTATTTTGTCTTTTTATTTTTCGGAAACGGAGTTTCGATGTTAAGAAAGAGAAATTTCGGCGGCTGATAGATTTAAATATTTTTTTATACATTAAAAAGTATGGTCATTTATATCTTATCCTGTTGGTAATAATTTCTTTAACGCTTCTTTCTCCGGTACTATAAAAGCGCCTATTTCCACTTTTTATTTTTGTAAGCGCAATGTGATATATTTATAAAAGAAATGCACATGTTTGATTTATACATGAGATTTCTTAATTTTGATTCATTCTCTTCTCTTTCTCAATTTTCAAAAAATATAACAACAAAATATGTTACTTATCTTTCTTTTTCTGAATTGATGTTCATCATCATCAGGCTCAGCGACGAGTTTAGATGAGTCAAGGGAGTCAACACCGTCTGCCAATATCCTGATGAAGAAATACGAGAGTGACATAGAGATACTCAGTAATCCAAGCCAGAGCAGCATAGAAGTTTTAGATGAAACTCTAAAGTTAGTCTGCTACTTGCTTGCAGTTATTATTACAGTTTTTATAGTGATACTTATAGTTTATAGTACTTGACATCTTATATGCGGATTAACTGCATATAAATACAAGTGCATCAAAAAACGAGTTAGATAGAGTTACTTTATTAATATTAGATGTTGGAATTAATTCGTAGCGTTTTACAAGAGATGGGAAGTGATGGGAAGTACTTTCATTAATGTATTTTTTAATGCTCATGTGAAATAAATAACATTCTTTCATTAAAAAACGCTACGAATTAATTCCAACACCTAATACAATTTTATATTAAAAGAGAAACAGAAACATACATGATCTCGTCATTTGTTTGTCATATTGTTTATGTTAATATTTCAACTATGATATTCATTGATGCAGAGCAAACGTCACACCAAGTCGCAAACGCTCAACGGAGGAAAAGCATATCGTAATCGCTCCTTCTTTAATAACAATACCAGATGCAACGCCGATCATGACAGGCCTGACAGAAAGTAGTTCTTCGGGTTTGTATTCTTCGTCTCTTGTATATGCCTTTCTTTGTGAACAGTTAAGTCAGTTAAGTTTAACAGTGTAATTACTAATGATGATATTAATTTCATTATATTAATTTCATGGTTCACGTATTTCTCTTTGTTCTATGGAAATTAAAATAATTACTTATAATAATCATATAAATAAGAAATTTTATAATGTGTTATAAATGCTTATAATCGAATTGTTCTAGCGAATTATATGTATAAAGTATATGTATAAAATTAACCTTACATTATTATTTTATTCCATTAAAATAAAAATTAACGCTATTTTCAATATGTAGTTATGTACTCTTTTACAACTTTTATAAATAGTATCAATTTTTATTTTAATGGAATAAAGTAATGATATAAAATTAATTTTATTCATAGGCTCGTTAACAGACAGCATATGCACGGCATATGAAAATAAAATGGTCAAATCGAATATTGATACGAAATCCCATAGTAGCGATGGCGAAAAGGAAATAGCATTTGCTCCTATGACAAACTTAACATCGATGCTGGGAGGTAAAATAAACAAATTCTATTGAACGAATGATACATTGTTTGACATTATTAAAAATACTTGCGTCAATAAAATGAACGTCAATAAAATATTTTGCTTCTGCTTGTAATTAATTTTATTTTGAATGGTATGACCATGATTTCAATCATTATCAATTATGTTAATCATTATCATCAGTTATATTCATTAGATATTCATCATTATCTTCAGATATTATGATATTAATAATTAATAATTATTATTTTTATAATATTTATATCTCTCTGTGTGTTACTTTCAGGCTTGCTACAAAGTATCAAGATCGGCAGCAAAACCTTGAAAGGTGAAGAGGCGTCAAACTTTTTTAGCAGTAACGTGCAATATTCCTATACTGATTTTAGCAGTATAGATCATAGAATCAAACTGCATATCATTCTAAATGTATTTGAGCATGAGAACGAAGAACTCGTATTTCTTCTCAAGGTATCTAGCTTGAGATTTAATTTATTACATCTCATCTAATTAATTATATATGACAAATCTGAATTAAATAGAATTATAGATTGGATATATCATTTTTTTTTTCATTTTCTTTCATCTGTATAGGCAGACATTTTGATGCATTCTATGCAAGAAACATTTTCTGGATGCTTAGTATTGTCTACATCTAAGGTTTATGTTCTTAGGATCGATGGGTCAGAAGGGTAAGTTTATATTTTGATATAAATTTTGATATCTAAAAATCATAAAAATTTTTAAGAAACAAGATGCTACTTTTTATTGTGTCTTTTAAATAAAAGTATTAAAAAATTATATTTTAATTTCGAACTTTAATACACTATGTGTCTTTAATTAATTTGAAACTAACAGAAGAATATGGTTTTCTATTCTACTGTTAAAACATACGAGAAAACTTTTTAGTCTTAATAAAAAAATCTAAGCAATAGAAGAAAAAAGGAATTTGTAACAGGGAAGATCCACAGCGTTGGCTTCACAAGGAAATTAGTTGGACAACAGATAGATTGAGATCTTTTATACCGCTGCCATTTAAGCAAGGTGTTTTAATTGAGTTACAACAGTCTGGGAAAGCCGGCGAAGAGCATCTCGCTATCACCCTGCTTTGTATTCTGCAAGATTTCCAAAGAACGTCAAATTTTTTATTTTATATCACAGGTAAAATCTGTTTTAACAAGTAGGTGCAACTTGATTTTAATTAACTGTAAAGCTTCAAGTATATTTATATAAATATATTTGATGTTAATTTTTTTTCCTTCTATTTACATTGTACCTCTGATGATAGATTTGCAGTTGCCTACAAGCTGCGAAGTGGAATTCTCTATTCCAGAACGTTACAGCATTTTGATGCACAACGTACTAACGAATGCTGCAAATTATCAGACAGGGGACATCGTACGATTACTAGCAATATTTTCCTCCGCAATCTTAAAATATCAAAATATCGCTATCAAGATGAAACTATCTGGATTGATACTGACGAGTGCAGCGCTGGTGATACTAAAGGACAACGTTCAATGGCTTGTACCAGACAGCAATCAAGTGCCTTTAGTCACTAGAGAACAAGTTATGAGCAATTTGATTGGAATAGTCAGTAATTTTCGATCATATCTGTTACCGTAAAATGTACATTCTATCCATGAGTCTCCAAAGAAAATTTAAATTGGTGATGGGTGCCACGATTAAATTTAACAAAAGTACATGCTGTCCCAAGTTATCTACACTATCCCAAGCCACCTATATTTATGTAGTTATAGCTTAGAAAGAGATAATGCTTTTAAATAGTTGCGCTTTATGTAATCTTAAAAGTACAATATACAAAATGTTTTGCGATTGAATCGTTTGCATTATCTTTCTATATTATCCACGTGTTGCATATTCAATGTACATTTACTGATATAAATATAATGTAATTTTAGGAACATTGTGACACTTGGTTAACTTTAAATTTTTTGGACGAAATTGCGGGCCTTGAGGAAAGTTGGACATTGGAATTTGTCTCTTCTGGTGCTGCCGAGGCTGTAATAAGTTCTATTCAGCCTCCGTGGGAAAAGTTATTCTCGATACCTCTGCAAATAACACGCATAACGCAAGATGATGCAGAGAAAGCTTAACAATACGCAAATCAAATTTATAGTGAGTTTTTCTATATTATAGTCATGGTGGAATTAATAAGATGAAACATTGCGCATAATGGCAACAATAATACTGGAAATAGCTAATCAAATGTTCCCTAATATACACTTTCCTACGTATAATAGCGCTGGTTATACTGAAACAACCAATCAAATGTTATCTGAATTCACTCTTCTACTGTGCACGGGAATGCTTCATTTTATTAATTCCACCATGATTTATAGTTTAGTTCAATAAACTTTTGTCTTATATATCTAAAAAATCCAATAGATTAAGAATAATCACTACAAAGGAAAAAAAACACGCGATGCCCTATTTATTGCAAGGATTGCAAGAGATTGACTTGCTGAAACGAAATAGAGAGAAATCCAGATATATAATTAAAGAAAGTATACACATACACACACACACACACACACACACACACACACACATTAAATTTAAATGCCTGGATAACACTTGTTATGATCAAAGTTATTGGAGTAATTGTTTCTCTTATTTTAATTTTTATGTAAAAATGAATTTTCAGTGCAATTATTAATTTAAGATATTATATTAAACATATAAAACATTTGAATTGTATAAAAATGTATGAATTGTAAAAAAAAAGAATATCTGTAATGCTACATATCACGTACATATTATGTACGTGATACATGGTTTATAATAGATTTAAATTGATAATCAATTTTGCACAATCTATAAACACGAAGACATCTTGATATAAAGGAAATATAAAGATTTTTTTTTTTTTTTTTTTTTTTTTTTTGAGAACCTGAACGAATTTAACATTCAAGAAAAATATAATAAAAAAAGAAAATAATGACAAAATTATAAGTAAAGTTAAATAAATATATAAAATGAGGCTTGAAAGAATCTATCAGTAAAGAATGTAAAAAAAACCCATCAAAGCCTACATCAGCTGTTCGGATGCACAGAAAATTCTTTATTTTCGTGTGAATGTAACAAAATTTTTTTACATTTTTTATAAAGTATCAAAAGTATGGTTCTCAATAGTGCTACACTAAGAACTATTATAAATATAACTTAACTGTAAATACTTTCGGTAAAATTGCCTTCCTTTGTATTAACTTTTGAGCCAAAGTTTCTCTGAAATATTGTATGCATGCAGCCTCTTTTATATCAATTTCTGATAATTTGTGTTGTATATTTGGCAATTTAATTATTAATTATTTCTGATTATAAATGTCTGACTGTGATATGTATATTTAGAATTTTCCAATAAATGCAAAATGCTCAGGTATTAGTAAATATTTATATCGCGAGGATATTGTAATTTATATTTTGTAAAATAAAGCATATAAATAAATATAATTATATATATAATCTTAAAATATACTTTTTCGATTCTTATCTCTTTATTATCATCTTATTATTATTTTCTGCATTAAAACGAATGTAAGATCTATTTTCTGCATTAGACTGCATTAAAATTTTCTTTCTCGCTTTTACTAAATATCAAACATATCTATTTCATTGTAAGTTCCAAAAGTGTACACGAGCTACAGAAAACAGACCTTGCAGTAAAATGACCTACTTTAATGCATTATTGTAATGGAAGAAGCATCTTGCTATACTTTTGTATTAAGAGTCGTGTCTGTAATTTGAAAGATTACGACATATGCTATTGATAATAATATGCACTACTGCAAATTACTTAATAAGTACCCGCGTTCTTCATATCTTAAATAGTATCGACATTTCAGTTATCTATTTGTTTGCCATTCCTTCGTAACCATCTATCAAAAAGTTTCGAGCATATATTTTATAGAAGGTATGATTTATAATACATATACCTTAATTTATAGTAATATGGAGGGTATTATTGATATAATTAACCTAAAATGTAAATAATAAATAATAATATTGTAATATTGTAAAAAAAAGTGGAAAAAAAGAATAATATACGACAAACGGCAAGAATTATGAAAGTTATTTTATAATGTAACATTTATGTATGTTCCTGGTGGAAAAATTTTATTGAAATTTCACAAAAATTTCGCTGAAAGTGATAACAAAATTGTTAAAATTTACTGTGGGTGATTTTATATAGCAAAATTAATGAAAAGTCGCTGAAATTTAATTAAAATTCTCCATTACTTTTTCAAAAATTTTTCTAAGTTTTCTGAAATTTCATTCAATAATTTCCAACCAAATAGATGAAATGAATTAGTTAAAAACTTATTACAATTTCTTCATAAGTTTTCAAAAAAGTTTGCTGAATTTCTCTAATAATTTGCCGCGAATGCAATATACCACACTGTTACCATATGGAGTTTTATTTTTCTAGTTCTATTTTAATAATTAAAATATAGAATAGAATAAAAGGAGGAGCATTATGAGATTTTTCATCTATAGTATTCATAATCAGATCTTATATTTAAGATCTTAAGTAAAGTCTTAAGATATCATGAATCAATTAGAGAACCGCATTAGCGTCTTAAGACATTACTTAAGACTTTTTTGAAATAAGAACCGATTATGAATACTGGCCTATGTTTTAATAATTCCTTAAAGAAATCGATAAATCCTCAAAATTGAATTCCGAGATGAAAGTAAATGAGATATTTGTTGAATTTTGTTAGTACAATTTTGTTTAGAAAAATTGTAAAAATCAATTAAAGAATCAGTCTTGTGTTTGTTGTGTAAAAATATGCAATTTTATTTTCAAATGTATTTAAATTTCGTTGAAATTTTGTTAAAAAGTATTCCGAAATACTGGAATAATTTTAACAAAATTTCAACGAATTTTTCGGCAAAGATTTTTTCCATGAGAAATAAATTGTAATGTTCTTGTATACGCGTTTACACATGTATATAATTATCAATGTTTGTACAAAAAGAATTTAGAAATGCGTATCTTACAAATTGTAACGGCGTGGCTGATTCTCATCGTTATACCGCACTGTGGCATCCATGGTTTTGGATACAGTAAGAGAGGTATGACAAGTTTACAAATTTTGATTTATTTTTCACGACATATATAAACTAAAAGAATCGTAGATAATTTTCCTTTCTTATTTTTCTCCTTTATTAAAATTGTTTTCTTTATTAAAACAGACGAGATTAATTCGGAAATAAGATAAGAACTTGAAAACAATATATATACTATTATTATACTATTTAACAATTATATTACTTACAAACAGTAAAACCCGTGTAGAGACTAACAAATTTATGAGACAAAAATTTAGAGATCGACGAAATAATTACAAATTGATAAGATTCTACAATTATTATTCATAAAATAGTGATTGTGTAAATAGCAATCTACTTATTATAATTTATATAACGTTCTTTAAGATTTATTGATTCCGTTTGAATAAAATTTTTTCTTCGTAATTTGATCTTTAAAAAATGCATCTGATGAAGAATTTTATGAATTAATAAAGAAGATTGATCATCAAGATTTTCTGAAGGTATGTAATTATATATACATTCATATTTATACATGTATTCCAGCTACAGAATCGAATACGTATAATGATAATAACAAACATGAAGAATCACTCTTGTATTTTAGGTAACATAGATAAGAAAATAAAAATTACTTGTTATTTGCCTGTATTTTGTAAATAATATATTTTACAAAATTAAGTGCTGGTGAATTGCTCTGCAAACGATCACAATAACAGTACATGCAGACTTGTTTAGTGAGAATACGATTATTTACCATTGTTATATATTATATTGTTAAGACAACAATTCTAATTTCAGCTAGTGTGACGAATTAAATAAACAGAGTCACTATTGTATAAAAATAAAACATTAGAGGAAGAACTCAAAATGAATGTATATATAATTATGTACATTAAGCCTTAAAGGGTTATTAATGTAAAAGAAAAATGTTGTTCTAATGTTTTATTTTAGAGCAACACTTGTGGCCGAAGAAGTACAAATTATGCGCAGGAAAACGACAATCACCAGTGGCTATATGCACATCAAAAGCGATCGTTAAACCATTTCCGGCTCTTGAATTGATTGGTTATCACGATTTTTTTCCAATGCCGCAATTATTAAAAAATAATGGAAACACTGGTAAATATTTTTAAGTCATATATAATTTTACTATTAAACTTTTTAAAAAAGCGTGTACAACACATCTCTTTTTTTTTTTAGTTATACTTAGAGTAGACAAAAATGAGACACAAGTACATAGAACATTGCCTTATATATTTGGAGGCATGCTGCGAAATCAAACATTTGAAATGGAAGAAGTGCACTTTCATTGGGGTTTAAAAAATAATAGAGGTGCCGAACATGTACTAAACGGTTTAAGGTAACAGTCATATTTATTTGTTCGAATTAAAAAATAATAAAGAATAAATTACAGCAATGAGATCAATATCGTAGATATTCAATGGAAACGCATATTATACATTACAACATGGCATATGGCAATTATGTAAATGCGGCACAACACGACGATGGTATAGCCGTAGTAGCTTCTTTCTTCCAGGTAACCATGTGCGCGCACGCACGCACACATGCAACACACACAAAAATCGCTCTTTAAATCAACTATAAATACAAAGCTAATTACGGTGATCAAAGTTAGATGTTAGACTAATACATGACACACACACACACACACACACACACACATTTTAAATAAATTTAATGTATCTTAGAAATGGCTGCGCGCCGATTATTTTTAGTCTTTCAACATTACATATATATACATATATATATATATATACATATCTATATGTATATACATATATACACACACATATATATATAAAAATATTTATATTTTTATACACAATTAATACAGTGCTCGTAAAGATTTGCACATTCCGGCGCGCTACTCCCACTACCGCTCGAGACTCGGTCTCTGTAGTTTAAACGTGTGGATATCGTATCTTATGTTATTAAAGAATATTTTTCTTGCAAAATAATTTTTATTTTCTTAAAAAAATCTAATACTGAATTTTTTAAAACGTTTTGTTATAATAATTCTTACCTACCAGAAACTATTTAATAATTGTTACAAATTTACATCGAGAAGTTTCTACAACAGACTTGCAAAGATTGAAGTCAGAAAATACGTGAATCTGGAAATTCCGTGTTTTCCATATGAAATCTTACAAAGTCTCAAGTAACAAGGATTCTATATCGCAACAACTATTTTCTTCTATAAGCGAATATAAGTTTATCATTTTAAATTCTTGACTAACGATTAATTGTTAACATTCTCTTTAACATATGTAACACCGTCTTTATGTAATTGTTTAAAAAAAAAAGTTAAACAATTACATAAAGACAATGTAGAAACTTCTCGGTATATTATAGAAACTTCTCGGTGTAAATTTATAACAATTATTGAATGGTTTCAGATAAGCAAGAATTATTATGAAATGTTTTAGAAAATTACAAAATGTTTTAGAAAATTTAATATTTGATTTTTTTAAGATAACAAAAATTATTTTACAAGAAAAATATTCTTTAATTACGTAAGGAATGATCTCCGCACGTTTAAACTAGAGAAGCGCTTCTGAGCCAGAACGTCACGTAAGCGCCCGGCGACTCAGCCATCGAGCCTCGAGCGATAATGGAGGTCGCTCGCCGGAATCGGCCGAAATGTGCAAATCTTTGCGAGCACCGAATTAATATATCTAAATACTTTTGTGAATTACAAATAAAAAATTAAATAAAAGTCTATTAAAAACTTATTTAATTTTAAAAATTTACGAAATCAAGAAAAGTTCTATGCCTAAGTATAATTACTTGCTTAATTTCAGTTGCAAGATGAAGACAACGAGCGTCTTCAACCTTTTATAAGTAAGTTATCTGATGTGCAATGGGCACATACAGAGTTATCGGTCAATATATATCTCACTCTAGCATCCCTAATACCGTCAAACACAGATGTCTTTTACGCATACAAAGGATCTCTCACAACTCCGCCTTGTAACGAAGTAGTCACCTGGCACATTTTCGCCAATCCAATTCCAATATCCTTCCATCAGGTATGTTACTTACACTTTTACTCATGTTTTATTACGATTACGCACAAGTACATGCATATATTTAGCATTCCTCTTTTTTTTAAAACAATTTTTTAACAATGATACAATCTTTTTATTATTTCAAATAATTAAAATAATTCATTTTCAATAAGGATCAGATATATAGCCGCGCACTGTCTCTTATATAGAGTGAATAAAAATTCCGGACCGGTGTGCCATTAAAAAAATCGATGCGACCTTGATCTGACCTTGGCGACGTAATAAGGTCAGATTGATCAGATCAGTAAATAGATCATTTGAAACTTTTTTACAACTTTTGTAGGAAACATTTTTTTCGGAAATGCTTAGTTTTCGACATATTTCACCGGTCTGGGACTTTTTACTCACCCTACACTTATGTGATTTATATACATATATGTAAATACTCATATATTATACTACATTTATATGAATTTATTTATCTATTTCATCATAGATGAACATGTTCCGGAAACTCTTAAACGGCGAAGGAATTTTGGGCGATAATTTTAGATTATTACAAGATATCGGTCAACGTAAAATATATATTAGAAGATTAGATCCAACAATCTCGATGAAAGATATCAAACACGGTGATTTTACAAATTTAAGTTGGTTCTGGGTGTAATATAATAATCGAAAATCGATAATTTCTGTTCTTATCTTTCAACTTGTAAAACTGAAATATTTCTTATTGTTATGTGTGAAATTCATTTATTCATTTTATTTTTTCTGTCACTTGATTATTCGAATTCAATCACAAGATAGAGAGTTCTCTTTAAGTACTTAATACAAAGTATTTTTAACTAGTCTCTTTCTCACTATTACGAATTATAGAATTCATAATAAGCTTACAGATTAATCATTTACATGACAACTTAATGCGTTTAGATTTAAAATGCTGATTGGATGATCTAAAAGAATACATCAATAACAGCGAGCGCTCACTCAATTGTTGAGTCTGCTGAACGCAGCCATTAAATCACCTGTAAAGTTTTTTGCATGCTGATACTCCTAATGATGATCACGAGCCATCATGTTAACAGAGAAATGACATTCTTATACTGATATGGCCAACTAAACAAATTCTGGATCCGTCATATCACATCCTCTGAGAGAATAATAACTGGCTCGTTTTTGTACACATACTATAACAATAATAATGTACCTTGAAAAAACAATATATATAGCTTAAAATTGTAAAAAGGATAAGGATTCAAATTTCTTTACTACAATCATATTGAATTATGACAGAAGGAAAAAATTACATCAATTTCCATCTTGTAAAATATATATGCAAAATATTTTAATTCTTCCTTGTGTCACTACTTGATCAATAAAATAGTGAAATGTATTACGAACTGTTCTTTTATGAGTTTATAAGCCTATTCCTTTTGGCTGAACTTTTGCAGTTCATCTTTCTTCTTTTTCTTTCCTTCTAAAAAGAACTGGTGCAAAAGTTCAGCTAAAAAGAACAAGTCTGATAGCATGTAAAGGTAGATTTATCTAATGTATGACGTATAAAAAGAAATTCATATGATTATAATTTTGTAATCTAATATGAATATAATGAAAAATTAAAAGACTTGCTTAAGGGGATATTGGCTGAACTTGATCAATGTCGATAAAACAGATGTTTAATTCCAAATAAAATATTATGTATATCAAGAAAACGTTACATACATTAATTAAAATATTACGTACATTAAGTGTAATTAATATTATGTACATTATAAAATAATTAAATAAAACATTACATATATTTTTTGCTCTGCTATATCCTACATATCACATGAATGCGAGGTTATGTACACTCAAATCGTACTTCTCAAGCCATTTCTTTTATAAGCTTCAAAATTTGAAGGCCTCATGATACTCTTCTAAATTACTCAAATATGGGAAACTTTGTGATATATCCTTGCATTCATTTATATATATGCGTGCGTGCGTGCGTGCGTGCGTGCGTGCGTGCGTGCGTGCGTGCGTGCGTGCGTGCGTGCGTGCGTGCGTGCGTGCGTGCGTGCGTGCGTGCGTGCGTGCGTGCGTGCGTGCGTGCGTGCGTGCGTGCGTGCGTGCGTGCGTGAAGGAAGCGAATTTACATGATAACGGAAAACTGTAATTTACAATTTTTTAGGAATTTTCATACTGGTTTGTACTTTTTGAAAGGTATTTACGTTTTTTCTTGTACTCTGGAGAAGGATTTTTTATTCTGTATAAGGAAAACGAAATGATTTGAGAAATATCAGATAACGCTCTGTTGGTAACTCCAGCATCTCCTTAAGCAAGTGATATACATATATATACGTATTACATTAGTGCACGAAAACTATAAATTAGTAATATCTGCATTAGTAATATCTGTTTTATAAATTAGTAATATCTGCATTAGTAATATCTGTTTTATTTTCTGATTTAATCATTGATTCACTATAAAAAAGAAAAATTGTACAAAGAGATACATATAAAATTTTGACTAAGGTAACAGGTAATGATAAAAAACAATCTTATATAAATCTTACTATCAACAAAGGCTGTGTTCCAAAATTCACTGCGCTTCTTCTTCTTCTTCGTCTTTAATTGACCCTGATTATCTTAGTGAGATCCACGTGGCCAGTCTTATCACAGGTGCCTCTAACCTTCCACAGGCGATACCAAAAGTACTAGCTGAAAGAGAAAAAAAATTACTGCCCCCCCCCCTTTCCGAGCGGCAAAGGAATGAGGAAAAGGAATAGCAGTCTCGAGTCTACATAAACAGGCCGATAAATAAGATACCTTAAAAAAAGGAGAAGAGAAGTCTGCAGAGTTTAACCAGAGGATTCTTTAACATGAGAAATATATTAATGGGATAAAGCGGAAAAGTCTTCTTCAGATATCTACACAAGAGTCGAAATTTGTTTCTAATATAGGGACATAGTATAGAAGATCACGTGGTTGATATCCTGTTTAGAGTAGTGACAGCTTGGAGTATTGGACATATTTTTCCGATGCAATCTATTCTAGTTCAGGTTATAATGTTTGATAAATTGCCCAGGCCTCTGCAAAAAATACCGAAGTATCCGAAGCCTGAATCTAAAACTTAATTTGAAGATCGGGGAATACATAGCCGCTCCAGTACACTCATCTTCTGACAATTTGGACCCGTCCGTAAAAGAATATTATGATATCGGACTCGCTGATGTCTTCCAGCTTGCTACAAAATTCGAGTGCGATCTTTCTTTACTTCTGTTCCTTGTGTCTACAATGAAGTTCGAATAATTCTTGCGAAAAATATATTATACATAGAGTAATCTCGTTCAAAAACAGGCGGGTAGATAGACCTAAAAACAGTATTCAATTCAGATTTACAGGTAATATAACACCTAAAAGTGGAGGAACAATTCAGCGCCGAAAACTTGTCCTTGACTGAGATTGCAGAGACTTCCAGGTTTCTAAGATTGGAAATGATAACGTTTTTTCTCTTGGACATTCATTTATACACATATTTAGATGATCGTAATTTGAGAGCAATTCCTTAGCTTCGCATAACATAATGTTGATTGAAGTGGATTGTCTGTATCCCATAATTGTTCTAATGACTATTTTATAGCCTTTCCAGACACATAAAAGCTGCGCTATTTTTGTATCAAATGAATATTTGGCAGCCATATTCAAGCCATAGAGCCTCTGAAGACTGTTCTATACAACGTTAACAATAATTATGGGTGAGAGCCCCATCAAACATCCGTGAGCGACGATAAAATATTGATCACCATTTTACCCTTTTTGGTCAAGTTTGAGGTGAAAATCACTTTTCAGCTTACAATCAAGATTGACGCCTAAGAACCTGATGTGGTTTACCCTGGGAACTTCTTGTTCATTAATTGTAAAGCCTGGTCGCATGTTGGTGGCTGCTTCCTTCTGGTAAAAATCAACCACTTGGATTTAGCAAGTGAGAGTTCGTGTTCTCTATGAGCAAGATATTGGTACATTTGATCCAATGAATGATAAACCTGTTCAACAGCCTCATCAGCAGTGCGAACCGAAGAATATATAACGATGTCGTCTGCGTATTGCAAAAAATTAACATCAGGCTGAATATGTTGATCTAGATTTCTTAAGCTAATATTAAATAAGAGAAGAGCCCTGCGGCATTCCAAAGCGCACATCGCTCAAAGAGCCGTTCTCGATGCAATTCTCTCCCGTTGATAAGATTCTCCACAAATTTACGTATATTAGTCGGCAGGCCAATGTCTCTCAAGCTCTTAGTTGATGACCTCTGGAAGAACATTATTAAAAGCGCCAGTGATTTCTAAAAAAGCACTCACTGCTACTTCCCCATTCAAGAATGCCACCTGTATGATATTAGCAAGAATTACCAGATTGTCCGCATACGACCTAGATGGACGAAAGTCCATCTGCTCTTGGGATAGAATGGATTGTGATTCCACTAACCACTGCAATCTCCAGTAGATGATTTTTCTCAAAATTTTGAGAACGCATAGTAGCAACGATGTGAGGCGTACGCTGGTTCCATCCGCCTTCAGGATGAACATCACTAGTGAAACTTTCTAAGCATGCGATATCACGCCCTTTGTCAAGAATTGAGAAAGATTATAGAACTTGAAAAGAATCCCAAGTAAAGTTGTTGTCAAGACACAACAGCATCAAAAAACTAATCTGATCCAGTCCTGGAGCGGAGTTCCGGTTTGGTTGAGCAAGAGCCATCTTAAATTCCTGCAGTATAATCGGGGCTTCCAAATCCCTGTGCATCGCAATGGAATTATCATCTTCTTCCTTAATTTCCAAACTCTTCCTAGTGTTGCGAGAGCAAAAAGGAGGACATATTTTATCCTTAACCAGTTTGATAAGGGAACGTTCCTCATACGCACCAATGTATCTTTGCATCAATTCCGGCTAGATTGCGATTCTTGAAGGCCTTGACTAATGACCAGATTTGACTGGTGAGCGTCTTACAGTCAAACGACTCAGTGAATTTTTTCATGAAACACATTGCATGCGTTTTTGTTAGAGATTACTCTGGAACACTTGGCACGCATTCTCTTAAATTCGAGAAAGTTCTCTATTGTAGGAGACCTTTGCCACTCTTTTAGCCGCTGCCCTATGTTTTTCGATTGCTTCTTGATAGGTTTCTGTCCATCAAGGACGCGATTTCCGTTTATCAGATAGTATAACTGAGTATAGGTGCTGAAACTTCAGTGGGAAAAATGATCTTGTCACCTCCAACAGATGGTTGTCCATCAGATAGTTGTATGCCTCGCATGAGTCCTCAGAAACTCCTTTGAAGAAATCTTCGGATGAGGCGTTTGAAAGGATACATACAATTTGTTAACCTCTTGTTGACTTAATTTAAGCTTATATAAAAAGCGACGAATTTTGTTGATGTTGCATCCCATCTTAATTTATAGGGAAATGATCGCTGCCCATTTCCTTGTAAGTTTTAATTTCGCAAAACGGGGTAAGGTCAGGTGAGGCAATAACCAGGTCAATAATAGAGGTGCCCGAATTTGGAAACAAGAACAAAGTGAGATGGTTATTATTCAATATGCAAGCATTAAATCCTTCCATAGCATTTAAAATAAGTCTACCTGCGCCATCGTTTTGGCACAATCCCACATAGAATGATGTGCATTCAGATCTCCTACAAAAATAACCTCTCGTATAAGTTAAAGAGTAGAAACAGACCCTGATATCATCAAAGATATTGCTTGTAGATGTTAACTATGACAATGCGTTCCTTGTTCGATGATATGCAAACGCTTTGACCGCAGCTCCACCGCAGGGATCATGTTGAGTCAGATGATGAAAAATAATGTTATTTCTTACTAACATGCAGATACCTCTCTGATTTTCTCTAGTAATGTCGCTTCTAATTGTATGAAATGCCTGCAGTCTGAATGAGGCTGATGATGTAAGTAGCGATTCTTGTAAGTTCATGATATCGAGATTAAGACTGATATCTTGAATATAAGGCAATTTATCTCGAATTCCACAACAATTCCATTATAGAATTCGAAAAGAGGAAGAATTGTTATTCGTGAATGTGGTTCAAATTAGCGGAGTGTCCGGTGGAGTCTGAGTAATAAACTTTTGAAAAGACTGAATAAACTGTTCAAATTGAATCCTAGCGAGTTGATAAAGGCGAGTAATCAATTCAATAGAGAAATAATTAGATCGACGAAAGTAGAAATTAATTGATTATTGAATAGCATTTTACAATTATTGAAATCCAAAAACTTAGCGAAAAAATTATTATTGCTATCGTGAAATCTATCTTCCATCGGACGTGTGATCTTGTCACATTTCCGAATTGAACTGACTTCCATTGTCATAGTGTCAAGTGGACCTACCGTTAGGTT